CTCCGCGCATCCGGGGCGCTGGCGAGAGGGGGGATTCCGAGCCCTAGTCCCTGCTGATCGCTTTGTGCCTGGGGTGTCGGCGAGCGAGCTGGCGTGGGGTGGCCCCTCGTCCTCCCCTGGCCGGGCTTCTCGGGAGCGCGCCTGGCCTAGTGTCTGCTCCCTGGTGACCGCCTGCGCCCCACAGCCGTGTGTCGAAGCCCTCTCTAGTGGGGACTGCTGGGTGACTGCCCTCGTGTGCGATCCTTTGCTCTCTAGACTTTGGCGTTTAGATTCACCCAAAGGCAAGATGCAGCCCGGAGAGAGGCTCTGTGCCCTGGCACCTGAGAGGAGAGGGTTGGCACGTGAGGGGAAAATGGTAAAAGCTTCTCCGATTTCCTCACCCTGCATTGCCTGAGCGTCTTCTGTGTGCCAGGCACGGTGACGGGGACTTAGCGTGCAGCTCTGAACCTTGCGCATCCAGCCGTCGGTGGGGAGCTGCCACTCCTGGGGGACACAGCAGATGTAAAAAGTAAATTAGGTACCTATTAGGAGGCAGCGAGTTCTACGGAGAAAAGGAAACACCCCAGCGGGCTAAGAGGGAGGAGAAGGGCCAGCTGGCGCTGTGGGGTATTAAGTAGATGGTGGTGGCTGGGAGAGCAGGTTAGGGATGGATAAAGACTTGCGAGGGGATCAGGGAATCTAGAACCTCGGCCCTCTAGTCGTGCAGCGAGGCGGCCAGAGCGCTTAAATGGAGTGAGCAAGGGGGACATGGTCGGTGGAAATTAGTGCTGGGGACTGAGGCTGCTGCTGCTGGTTCGCTTATTATAGGATCCAGTGTGAGGACTTTCATCTTTTTGTTTGGTAGGTGGGTTTTTTGTTTTGTTTTTTGGCTGTGTTGGGGATTGAACTGGGGACCTTCTCACTAAGCCGCATCCCCAGCCCTGTTTTATTTTAATTAATTTATTTTTTTGTGGTGCCAGGGATCAAACTCGGGACCTTGGGCTTGCAAGGCAGGTGGCACAACCACTGAGTCAAATCCCCGGGCCCCTAATTTTATTTTTTGAGACAGGGTCTTGCTAACTTGCACTTGCTAGTTGTGAGCTTGTGATCTCCCGCGGCGTTGGGGTTACAGGCGTGTCCCTTCACGTCCCATCGTGCCCAGCCCTCCCACCTGGACGTCAGTGGGCGCTGCATGGCTGTTGGACTGTAAAGGGTAGGACAAGGATGGAAACAAGGAGAAGTGTCAGGAGTGTGGCAGAGTTTCGCAACTTATATTTTTTTAAAAAATTTATTTTTATTAGTCCATATTTGCAGTACATAATGATTACATTCATCATGGGGAGCTGGTACATGTATATAGCATATCTTCTTTTTATTTCTCCCCCCCGC